CCCGCAGACAGGCCCGGGAGCGGGGCAGCATCCGCGGGGCGCGTACGGCTGCGTCGCTGACGAACAGCAAGGGCCAAAGGCGTCGTTCCTGACAAAAACCTGCGGTAGCGGTCACTGCGGAGCCTTCCTGGGGAAGAGAGACAGGCAGGGGGGTTGTCCGGTTGCTTTCTGGGCCCCTACCTGTCCTTTGGGATTTACTGGCTTTGAGCAATTCGAAACGCAGCCGTTATTCCTGGGGCCGTCACGGAGACGCTGCTGCTTTTTGCCTTGGGTAAAAGAAATTTCTTTTGCGCCTTTTAATAATAGCCTGTTGGAGGCTAAGTCATCGAGGAAGCCCCGCTTCACATATCTGCCAAAATATGGAAGAGCTGTCAGGACTTAATCATGGCACATGACTCGAAGGTCAGCATGGATCAATTCTGTTTAGCCTGATTCTCCGCTAGCATTACGGATGTTCAACTTAAGTATAACATGCCAGGCCCATAATTTCTGGCAGGACAGACAGTTTGCTTTCCAGGGCTACTCTGGAATGTGAATGCTGACTCTGTATGTGGGAGCGGTACCATGAGGGCATTTAACGCTTGTGTAGTCAAATTCACCTTTGCATTTATTGCTCTAGCTACTGCCTCAAATATACAGCTTGCTATGGTAAATGCTGCTTGCCTGGTGCAGTGACCTTGTAGTCTCATGTTGGGTTACAAGTAAAAATAAATTCTAGCTTAAATTACTTCTCCCGCAGCATTCATTACAATATATGCAAGAATTATGTGGTTTCTAGTTGTTCCTATTAGTGCTAACATAGCTTGTCCCTTTTGCCATACAGCTACTTTTAAGCATACATGTCAGTAAAGACAGGAGGTAACAAATACCAGTGGTACAGGAGAGGAATACAAATTGTCAAATACGTTGCTGTCTAGCCTGATAGCTGCAGGCGGGGCGCATGCGTGAGTATGGTAGAACTGAAGTAGCGTAAGTCTGTTTACACATAGAAGTCTTCTGACTCTTAAGTCACAGAGGCATGAAAAATCCTAGAGGAGAGTAAAACCGGGAGGCTGTGATTTTTCTGCAGTTATGTTATCGATACTGATACAGCTGGGGATTTTGTCCGTGGTGCTTGGCTCAGGAAGAGCTCGTGCTGAGATACCATCGCAGTTTTGAAGCTTAATGCCAGTTTAGAATATTCAGATTTTAGAAAGTATAATTCTTTGACTATGCTGTGTAGACTCGTTGCCATGGTGAATTTTGTCTTTACAGTGCATTTCAGTTATGCTTTTTAAAAACTGCCAGGCACGCAGAAGGCAACAGTACAAAACCTACAGATGCAAAAGATGGAAGAACAAAATTCATGAAGAAGCGACACTAATGCAAAGTCATTTTGAAAACATTACCTAAAATGTGTAATGATACCGTCCACCCAACTATTAGTGAAAGTGTTTGATTTTTCACTTTGCTTTCTATGAATCTAAATCCCTAGTGTATCGTCTCTTTAGTTACGAGAACCTTATTTCAAATGTGTAGTATGTAAGGACCCAGGTTATTGTGCAGTAGCTTCCCCTCGCCCCCAGGCACAGTAGGAGAGTATGGCGCACTGCAAAGTGCAGCTGTCCTGGGTTTACCTTGTGCTAAGAATACCCGCATGAGGTGTTAGTGCATGGAATGTTGGAGAGCAGTTTGGCAAAGCGCTTAGTTACTCTTGTTTCAACTGGATTTTCATACTAGTTTGAGATAGGAAATTTAAAGCAATAGGATTTTAAAATGCAGATTTGCTGCAATACTGTTAACGTGATAAAATTCCATTTATGTTGTAAAATGGCATCTTTTTGTTTTATATTCTTGCAGGTTTCTCGATTGCTAGGTGCTTTCAAAAACCAAAAACAGGTGACCAGAAGTTTTGGTAGTGCTGTGAGTATGATAGTACCATTTTTTTCTTTTAAGAAGTTTCTCAAGGAAGAGGTTCAGAAATTTACTCTTAGAAGATTGCTGTTATTTTTATGTTCTCAAAAAAATAAGGCCTAAATAAGTGAACATATATGCTCTTAATGCCATGCTGGATTTATATTGGTTAATTACTGTCTTTGGCAATTGCATATTAAAGTGTAAGTGATAATACAAAAGGCTCTAGCAAAATACAGAAGTGGCATGAAGACTTTTCATGGAATATGGACATAAGCCAGCCTCCTGAAACTCATCTGGAAATGGGCAAATACTGGGCAAGCTAGAAAGACTGTTGAGAAGCTTCTAATTTTCTTTATTTTGCAGACTTTCCTCTAAGCACTAGATTTACTTTACTGCTGCTTTTAGAATACCTTGCATCTAAAGTTCTGCCTTTTCAAGGCCCTCCTTAAAGTATTCTAGGCACTGATTGTGTATTTCCTTGTAGATGTTTCACCTTCTTTATGTATATGTGTTTGAAGTGGCCAGGGAGCCTTTTTATGTTCAGTGAAGGTGGCCTTGAAAACTGCTTGGGCAGAAGCAGGGCTCAGCACCACTGCATGCACCCTTAAGCAGGACTTAATTTTAAAGAGAAACTGTGGCTTTTAATTATAAATTTTGTAGAACAGCAGATAGAACAGCTAGAAAAGAAACTGAAAGGTCGCTCATATCTTATACAGTATAAAAAGATTCAGAAGGTGAGGCACCTCCGGTTCTGTTTATACCACATTACTGTTTCAGGGGAAACATCCTGTGGCTCAGGTGGAGTCCTGCTGTGCTGTGAAGCAACAACGCAATGCAGCACAAAACTAATCTTGAAGCATTTCATCAGTTATGTGCTTGCCTAACTGCAGTGTTCTTTTATCTGAGGCTCTGCTTCTTTTGTTGGGCACAGTGAATTTCTTTGGCTCAAATTAGTTAAAAAAATCAGTCTATATATTGAAATTCTCAATATTTTGTGTGGAGAAGGATAGAAACATATGAGTTCATTCTAACTGGGGTTTTGCAAATAATGCTGTATCTGAGCTGCTTTTTTTGTAGGTAATAATGGGCCCTTACAAAACTGTTGGAAATCTTTAAGTAAAACAAACAGAGCTGGGACATGTACAATTAGAATAGTGATCATAATTTTTTTTTTTAATCAAAGTGGAGTGCTTTCTTCCTCTGTTATTCAGTGAGCCTGGGCTGTGCAATTTATTTCATCTGCTTGATGATGGTAAAAGAAGCAACGCTGAGAATATCATGGGAGGAAAACAACTTGGTATTGTTAAAAACGGGTCTGAGATTTTTCAGAAGTCACTTGAGAAGTTTAGATATGCATGAGGTTGTTTTTTTTTTTACAGTGAATGTAGCTTTTCATAAATGTAATCTTTTCTAGCATATGTCAGTATTAATGCAGCATGTTGACAATACCGGAGACATATGGGTAACAGACAGGTTATACTATCTCCTCTCCAAATTTCAAGAAGAAAGCATGGTGAGATCATTCATTTCAAGGAGTACTGAGCTGGAACCTGCCTTTCAGGTTAAACCTCTGTGTTTTGAAATAGGAAGAGATAGTAGGCAGATTTTTAAACGATTCTCTCAAAACTTGTGCATGCTCCCTTTGAAAGCAAGCTACTCATTCTTGCTTCTGACCAACACTGCTATTCTTCATCGTGAGTATTTGGTAACTGAAACTTTCTTTTCTTTTTGAGTAGTTACTTGGTTCCTATAACACATGTTTTCCTCATAGAAAACAAGCATTCATTTGTTGTACTACTGATATTTCTTTACCTAGGTACAAACAGTAACTTTAATCCCAGGGGATGGCATAGGACCTGAGATTTCTGCTGCTGTCATGAAGATCTTTGATGCTGCCAAAGTAAGTCATATGTGTCTTGCTATAAGTGTTGTAAGTTTAACTACAACCATGAGTATTAACTACGTGTATTAAAAATGTTTTATCAAGATCAAGTCATGTTTAAGCTATTAAAACTTCTTGACAATAGAAAGGAAGTATGAAGCTTCAGCAGGGATTACAGTATCAAGGCAGAGTTTGAAACTGGTAGCTGGCGGAGGAGTAAAGAGTTGAGAGCAAATGCTGTGTTTAATTTTTGGAAATATGAACTCGATATATTATGTGAAATCATCTTGTTGATGTAGCAGTCCTCAGCATCTGGTAGAGGATGTTCTTTCATTCATTGTGACTTCCAGTGCAGATGGAAGTGTGTTTGAAAGGACTGGCTTATTCTTAGAAATCAAACTGTGGCGCTGCCAAACACATTCACTTAAGTGATATGAAAAAGAAATATATCCAAGAATTGTTTTACTACCTATCTGAGGATCTTTACCAGAATTTGTCCAGTTTCTTTGAAAGGAAACATGGCTTTTTAGGAAAGATGTGTGTTAAATTGTTCCACGCAACTAACAGTACCAAGTCATATTCCCTTTCTATTCCAACTGACTTAGATTTGGAAAAAGTGAAGTTCTGCTATATGAAAACCTAGTTAGTTTTGGTTGGTTTTGGGGAGTCAAGCAGGAGGTGTGGAAGAGTAAAACCTAAGTTTATGTGTGAGTGCGTGTTTGCAATACTTAATCAGATTTGTTTTATTTTAAAGGGGATTCTCTAGTTAGGCTTAGACTGGTTCTGTTTGCTTATGAAAGCCCTTGTATCTTTTCCTTTACGGTCCTTCCTGATAACATGAAAGGGTGGCAGGCCATCTCCACTTAGAAGATTCCCATGGTGAATGCAAATTCAGAAAGCATTGTGGAACATTTGCAGATTTTCAGTTAGATAACAGATATATATCTATGTTATATACTGTCTTCCAGGCCGTATGGATGATGAGTACTTAATAAATTCAGTTTTCAAATGTCTTGTCTCTTGTATACAAGGAACTCATCGGCTCTAAGAGCTTAAAAGAAGTAGCATGTCTATTGCAGTTCTAATTATTTCTGTGTACATGACACCTCGGGAAATATCTTGTGGTATTCAGGTTTATCATGATAGGTTGCTCATACTATTTCATTTTCACTTAATTATGTTTTTAAAAAATTGTGTATTTTGGAGTTCAAACATCTCTCACTCGTGAGAGAAAAATGGTTAAGGAAGGCCTGGACAAAACTCCTTCCACACCTTTTTGTGAAAGGAAAGATAAAACTTGAAGCAAAAGTCTTGATATTTAAGTTAACAGAGTAAATGTGTTTAGGCTCCTATTCAGTGGGAAGAGAGGAACGTTACAGCTATCCAGGGACCAGGAGGGAAGTGGATGATACCTCCAGATGCCAAAGAATCCATGGACAAAAACAAAATGGGATTAAAAGGTACTTAAGGGTTAATACAAAGATATTAAATACTGTTGTTTTCATTGTGAGTCTGATTTAAAGCCAAAGTCCTTCATCTGTAGCACAATAAAGTGGCTAATTACAGACGACAGCCTGTCAGGTAGCCTTCTGTAATCTTAAAACAGCCCTTCATTTCAAAGCCAGAACTGTCCTACATCTTCTAGGACATATGTTAAAGGCAGGTATTATCACATACCAACCTTTGGACTCTATGCAGAATGCATTTCTAATGCAGTTGATACACAACAGTACGCGATAACTGTATTATTAATGAATAGCATCTTTTTATGTTGTTTTCAGTGAGAACCTTTTGTAAAAACTTCTATTCCATGTAAGGGTTGCAGTTTGGCCTTTAAAGAGCTGATTAATATCACTGTGTAGTACTCTTGAAAGCACAGAGAATTCCCATGGCATTTCAGCATAGGGTTAAATAGGAAGTTGGAGCTCCTGTAAGAGTACCACTTTACCTAGAGTTTCACCTCTAAAATTCGTGGAGGGGTTTATCATCTGATCAGTCTTGTGGGGGTTTTTTTTTGTTTTTTTTCTTCAGGGCCTTTAAAGACCCCAATTGCTGCAGGGCACCCATCAATGAATCTGCTTCTGCGCAAAACCTTTGACCTTTATGCAAATGTACGTCCCTGTGTCTCCATTGAAGGGTACAAAACCCCATATACGGATGTGAATATTGTCACAATTCGAGAGAACACAGAAGGCGAATACAGTGGAATTGAGCACGTGGTATGTTGCTGAAAGTGTGGTGCTTATGGTGGGTTTTCTGTGTTTCATGAATGATAACTTGGCCCATCTCAGTGGCCTGGGTGGAGTTTTTTAAGTTTGCTATCCATAAATTATTTTATAGTAAAATGCATTGTCGAGACTGCCTCACTCAGAATGCTACTACTTTGTTCCAAACTTTCATACTAGTGACTTGAAAAATGAGCTTAGACTTTTACTATCAATGCAACTACTGTCTTTCAGATTGTTGAAGGTGTTGTGCAGAGTATCAAGCTGATCACAGAAGAGGCTAGCAAGCGTATTGCAGAATTTGCTTTTGAGTATGCCAGAAATAACCAGAGAAGCCATGTTACTGCTGTGCACAAGGCAAATATTATGTATGTTGACACTTCTTTTTGAGAAGAACAACATATAGTAATATGCATTTAATTATAAGTATCTTTTTAAATCCTCCTCAAATGTAGAATTTCTGTTGATGCTAGTGGGAGTAAGTAAAATGGACAATAAGTAAAGTAAATGCTTCCTAAGTAAAATGGGCAGTACTGACCCAGTACTCATAGGGCTATAATAATTATGTACTAAGGTTTTTGTTAGTAAGTTTGTAGTAATCCTGTGACTTTCCTTGCAAAGCTCTTACTTTAAACATAGTCTTAAACTGGGAAAATGAACTTACAAACTGTGAATGAAAATGGCTAGTGTTTCCAAGGCATTTTGTACTAAATTGAGTCATAACACGTGATATTATGTGACGCCACCTTCACTAACTCAGTAAGCCTTCAGTAAATTAATGAGAGTAATTCTGAGAATTAATGTATGCCTGTTAAACTGCTGATACAAAAATACTTTGGGAGGAAATGTAAAAGGCGTAACTTCTCTGTCTGTAATATATTTAACATATTTATATTTAACTTAAGGGGTTATTAGTCACAAATTAAGTTTCTCCACTCTTAATATTTTTATTTAATCCTCTGTTGCATGCATTTTTCTTTATCTTCCGTATTGCTTACTTACAATAACGGCAATATTCTGTTGCTTATTTAATTGCAGGAGAATGTCTGATGGGCTTTTCTTGAGAAAATGCAGGGAGGCAGCAGAAAACTGTAAAGATATTAAATTTAATGAAATGTATCTGGATACTGTGTGTCTGAATGTGAGTATTTATAGGTTTCAATTGTGGTAATTTTTTAGTTTAAATTCTTAACCTTAATGAAAATATACTTCTTTCTAGATGGTTCAGGATCCATCACAATTTGATGTGCTTGTTATGCCAAACTTGTATGGTGACATCCTCAGGTATGGAGGTTTTAATTTAAATTAACCCAACATGTAAAATACTGTTATTTTCTGGACAGTTTCTCAGGCTATATGCTAGCCAGATGGGTGATGATTTTATGTGTCCACAGTTTAAAACTTCATAAATCAGACTCTAAATGGGAAGAAAGGATGGTATTATTGCACTTCAATTATTAATGTATTATTGGGAGGGGCTATGTGATGAGAATGTGCTTCTTTTTAAAAAAAAAAGTTTCTGCTTATGGAGGCTATGAATATTGTTCAGATCGGGCAGAAGAGAAATTTCTCCTGATATGTGAAGAATTTAATGGCTTAAATTGTGATAAAGAACACTTAGTTAGATACTGGGGGAAAAACTTTCTAATCTTAAGCACTAAAATAGATTGCGTAAGATGACTATGGGGCCGTGATGTTTCAGCAAGCTAGCCATACAGCGAAATCATTCTGCATAGTCACTGAAGAAGGAAACGTGTGGCCTCTCAATATCCTACCAGTTCTTGTTTTATGTGTTGCATTTTTTCCTTCAAATTAAATTTTGTATTTGAATAACATTAATACTAGAGGTACTTGATGTCTTGAAGGCAAAATCCATCAGTACACACTTTTCATTCTGGAAAATGTTTAAGTAGAGTCTAAATTCAATTAAATATTGCATGTAAAATAATGTATCTTAATCTGCTTTTAAGTGTGAACGTATTGCCAAACACGTTTCTTGGCTTGAATAGGTACAGGAGGAAATCTCTTACCTTGAAGCATTAAATACCTGAAGTGACAAATGTAGACTGTACCCATTTTTTTCCCCAGATTCTATACAACTAAAGCTAATTGGTTTATTTTAGCTTAAACTTAAATATTATTCTGCAAGGCCATCCAAACTTTTCTGCCTCTTAGTCCTTGATTAGCTAATTTATAGGCAATAAAACAGTATGCTAAAATATCAAGAGTTTTAAGAGCCTTGTTTATCAGTATGTTCAGCTTTGAGGGTACTTTTTGCTTTGTCCTTCCCCATGTTAATTTTGGAGGAAACCTAATGCAAATTGCTTATGTCTGATGATCTGCTACTGTCAGACTTGTGACTTAGGGGCTGTTCAGTGAAGAGAGGGGGGAAAGCGAGTCTGGTGTCACTTGGAACATATTCCTTAAACTACATGCAATAAACTTTACAACTACTAGTAATTCATCTACCTGAGCAAAATTCTTCCATGTTTTTTAGAAGGACTTTACATATGATTTTACATATTCCTCTTCAGAGGAAATAAGACTTCTGGATAATTACAAGGAACTTTACATTACAATTTTTGCTAGTTATTGAGACTTCTACAGGTATTTTGTGCTTTGAGTACTTTTTGTTGTGCCTGTGTCTTAATCAGCTTTATTTTAGTATCTGGAACTTCCTTTTAATTTTCCCGTATTAAATTATCTCCTGCTAGTAGTTACAAGGCACTCCTACAAGCAGCTAACAGCATCTATCCTTTCCCAATATTATTCTCGGATGGTGTGGGTATATGAAATAAGTTATTGTTGCAATAAAATTAGTAACAAAATATTTTAATACTTTGCAGACAGGCAACTGTATATGGAAAAACTTGTGCATTTTTCTGTTTCCTTTTTTTTTTCCTTTTCAGTGACTTGTGTGCTGGACTGATTGGGGGTCTTGGAGTAACACCAAGCGGAAACATTGGTGCTAATGGAGTTGCGATTTTTGAATCAGTAAGTTCTTACGCAAGGCATAGAAGTAATAACTACTTTGTCTCAACTTGAGCATCCGAAACTTTTCCATGACATACAATCTGGCTGTCATTTAACTAAGTTCTCTATAAAATTATTTTTCACTGTGAAGATGCTGAAACTTTACCCAGAGAGAGTAGTTAAAGTATGTATTATACATAGGTTTTTGCATGTGCTCTTACTGACACTTTGTTTTCCCCCTTTTTCATAAGATAAAGACCTTCTCTGAAATAGAATTTGAGGGACACAATTGGGAGACACTAGGTAACCTAGTTCCCCCTTTCTGATGCCTTTGAACAGAATTGTTCTGGTCTTTCCTATCTCCTTTCCACTAACCATATCACCGTGAAGTCAGTCCTATTGTAACATGCTTGTGCATGTTTCGGGTTGCTTGCATACATTTGAACTGCCTAGGACATTTTAATCAGCATACTGGCATCATAACAGAGAGGTTCATTTTTATTTCTAGGTTCATGGAACAGCACCAGACATTGCAGGAAAAGACTTGGCAAATCCAACTGCCCTTCTTCTGAGTGCTGTAATGATGTTGCGTCACATGGGACTACACAAACATGCCACAAAAATTGAGACAGCTTGCTTTGATACAATTAAAGATGGAAAGGTAATATGAGGGTGTGCAAATAAATGCAGTGAATTAAAATCACATTCTATTGTAGCAAAAATTAGCTTAAAACATTAACACCAGAACAGTGGATGACCTGCTGTGCTGGCCTGACATATGAGCAGTGCTGCTATCCTTCTCTGATAGTAATTATATTATTTTTGGTGGTATTAAATCTGCCCAGCTCAGTAGTAAGAATATTCTTTATGTCTCAGTAATGCTCAGTCTACGTTTCCACAGCTTTGTTAACTCTAAAAGCTAGAACTGGGTATCTGTTTTTTATGAAGGGGATTAGAGGTTTAAGTATCTAGTGATATTTCACTTGTGAAGTTTATAATGCATACAAAGCACATATATTTACATCTGGATCCTGAAGTGAAGAATGCTTATTTGCCTTTCACAGGCTTAATAATTCACTTCATTTATGGCATTTCAGTCCTGACTGTAATACTTCTGCTCCTATTGTTTCAGGTCAATTCTTTCCTTTTTTCCTCCTAACTGCTTTCACTCTTTTTTGGACTACAAAAGAACAGTTTTTGTCCACTATTTACATTTTCCCTTAAGATAGTATTCGATTTCCCTTTGGCAATAACCATCTCCAGATTCAAGACTCAAATGGGATGTTCCGGGTGGGACTTATGCTCTGAAATCTGACTTGAATTTGTGCTCTTAACCTTATTGGTTCACTCACCTACTTTGACATCTACCTTGTCAAAACATAGCTGGAAAGATCCTGAAGATGGCAGTTAAAGAGGATTACCAGTTAGCTATGCTGGTTCAGTTATCTTGGACAGGAGCATGAGAAGCTGCTTTGTAATTAAAAGTAACAAGCATGCCTAAACAAAAAGCTGTCATCATTTCATAAGTGGTCTGTTTGCAGCTATCTTACTGTGTATAGGAGCCAGTTAAAAAAAAATTCTAAACTTACAAGTGAATAAAGAGGTACTCCTGTAAAGTTCCCATTTACTGCTCTGGAAATGAAATCCTCCATCTGCAGGTCAGTAATTCTACGGAAGATAACATTATGCAAGTTTTGTGACATGGCTACTTGTTTACTAGTTACTTACAATGTTATGGTTATATGCTCACAATGGAGAGATTTTTAAATTGAAAAAAGCATAATGCAGTTAAATGACAAGATCCTGAAATAGTAACCTTTATTGCCTCTCCTGCTTGCTACTTCTCCCTTTCCTCCCTTCCCCATAGCAATTTAATTAAAGATCTCTGTGTGTGTCATGTAAGGGGAAGACTAATGATTTTAAATTATCTCCCAGACTGCTTTCATCTAGCTAGGATGGACAAGCAGCGTTGTCCAATTTTTATTCGATTACTGTTCATGCTGCCAGACAGGAGTTGTACTTGATGAAAAAGTTTCTTTTAACTCTGCATTTTTCCATCTCTTAACTAAACTAAGCAAACTCAAAGAATTGTTAACATGCAGCATTAAGAGCTATGTGTGCTTTTTCTGTGTGGGTTTCCTTAAAAAAAAAAACAAAACAAAAAAAAACCCAAAAACAACCCCCCCCAAAAAACCCAAAACCTTATAGAAGGACCTTTTGCGCTGTGCCTTCATATTTCAATTTTACTTCCAAAGGACAAATCTCTTAATGAAAACTTAAATACTTAACAATTAATTACACTATTATGTGGCCAAGGGACTTTGGCCAAATGTGCTTTCTTGTAGTTAAGATAAAACCATGTTGAAACCTGGTAACATAACACTTGATGATCATACTCAGATTTTCTCTACCTGCTTCAGTCTGCATAGTCCTTATTGATGAAGGCTATATGGGATGCAGAAAAACTTGAACTTCATGTATTCCTTCTCATCCTATTTAGTATCCCTACACAACATATAAGAACAACATTTAGAACTGTTCAGAGACAAGGCTAGCCCCATAAAACATTTCAGTAAGACTATTTTTTCTCTCTTTCAGGTCTTGACAAAAGACTTGGGAGGTGGCGCCAAATGTTCGGAATTCACAGAAGAGATCTGCCGCAGAGTACGGGACACAGACTAAACTTTTCTCATACTACTTGTAATAACTCTGAAAGGATACATCACACAAAGTACATCATATGTAACCTGATACCCATATAGTTTGCTTGTCTCTTCAGAGAACAAACTTTTTAGTTAGGGCCTCTCTGTTAATTAATTTAGTCCAAATGGCTACAAATTATGCTTGTGCCTGCTTTCAGTGGACTTTTCTAAGTGCTTTGTCTTATTTATTTTTTCTATCTGGTGAACATTTTTATGTAAGTGAATTCTTTTACTGCCACTGTAACTGTCTACCATTTTCAATGTGAACCAGAGGTTTTTACTTTCCACAAAGAAAAATTATGCAAATAAACCAGTAACAGAATTAGTGAAATCTAAAAGCACCTTAATGGTTAAAACCTACTTTATTGATCTTACTGAAATTTAAAAGATAGGTTTTCAGCCTAACAATAGCACAAGATGACCTTCATAAACAGAAACGGGTATAAAATAACTTAAAATAGCAATTTCATGTTAAGAGCAATGAAAAAAATACTTTAGATACTGTGGTGATTCATGAAATATAGCCTTGCCCTCTAAGGGCATGAATAAAGAAATACAAATGTGTATTTTAAAAAAAACCCAGAACCATTAACCAGCAAGATGTGAGAACTAATGTTGAAGTAAAATTATTTTTCAAATCTATTTACCAAAATAATTCTTACAAATTTTCCTCTCTGAAACACACTTTACAACAGAGTTATAATGCAAGTAAATTATACAAAATTACTTCTGCCATGTATTGTGAGGGGAAAGCATTAACTTTACGAATTTATACTAATTATTTCATGACTTCTGCTAGAATGCTTTTTGTGTTGTACTTTTATGCATAGTATGTTCAGTGTGTCTTACTGTATTGACTAGTAATTTCATTCTAGAAACTCCGAATGTAAGGGACTAGTCCTAAATGGATTGAGACAGATCAAAGGTTTGGCTCTGGTGCCTATGTTCCAGAAATACATTTCATCCCTATTCAGGGGGATCTGAGGCTATTTTTTGCCCTGCTTACTGAGCTTAATGGGTGCAAAAGCAACTCTTTTCCCTCCCTTCTTCATTGCATACAGGTTGTCATATGAGTCATTCTGATCTGTATGTCTTAAGGTATGCTTCCATTAGTAACCTTACCAGAAAAACATGTATTTTAAAACTCATGACTATAGGACAGGATTATCCCTACTGCCAGAACCAGGTTTCTTAAAGCTTAATTCTATGAACAGATATTACTCCACTTTCTATTGAGACTGTTTAGGCTGGTTGTTTCAGAGATAAAATAAATTTTGAGTAACTTCCTAGTGTCACTCAAAGTAAGCATGCCAGCTTTTTTTGTATAGGCTAACAACATGTTGGAGGAGGGACAACGAGCTTTATTCCTTGTGCATTCTGCTTTTGGTGAATAGGGCAACATTTCTTTCTGTGTTTTACAAGCTGCTGCTTCCTTGTTTCCTTTAGATTAATGTTAAAGAACTTCTGAATTACCATTACGCACAAAATGGGGAAAATAAACTTTTCAAAGTCCTATTGCTTGGGGTTTTTTTACAATTACAGGCTGCTGTCTTGTTGTCTTGGTTCAGCTGATGGTTGGTACTTGCAACAAATCTTAAGTCTGTAAGATGCCTAAGACTGGTAATGGAACTTTCATGGAAATGATACCCTATTCTACAGGACTCTCTTAACTGAGAACAGTGGTTATAGGTTGGCTGCTTGTGTTAGCTGTTACAACTCTGCCAAAGATCACATACTAACAGCAAACCCTTTAGACAACTTTGTCAAGTATGTCCTTCACATAATACGACTGACTGACTTTTTACAAGGAGAAGAAGAAACACAGCTCACATTTTTCAGAATTAATACAATGTGAATATTGAAGCATGCAGGTAGTGTTGCAACACACTGACACATTGCTTCTAAACACCATTGCTTAAAAAAAAATGCTGTAAACAATTTTAAAGAAGTTTCTGTTCTAAACAGCACTTTAATGTGAGAGCTCCTGTATTTGCTACTTCATGTCTTTCAGTCTTAGGGAGTATTCCCTCAACTTTGATTATTTGTTTTTAGGAGAAATAGTAATGCTAATTTCAACATGAATTTATGAAATTATGAGCTGCTGTTTTCACAAAAGTCTGAATTCTAGCCACTGTAGAAATGGAATGTCTTTAGATTCATAAATGTTGTGTTAGTGAACACAAATAAACTCATCTCTGGGAGGGGAAAAAACCCAGCCCTTCTGACTTTTCTTTAATAATTATCTTTATCATAGGAGTGGTATAAGTGTCACTAAGCAGTACTGTTAACTACTGATCTACCAAAATATATCATGAGCTACGGGCAACCTCCTGTAGAACACAAAAAATTCTGTTTCAGTCTAGTGGAATTAATTAGTTATACCTGCTTATACACAAGAGGATGTTTTTAATCATTTAGGGCATAAAGTAAAAACAGTATTAGAAAACAGATACTCTGTAGATGCTTCTGTAAAAAGAGGACACACTATCAGGTGAGTATCAGGAACAACTAAATTGACACAGCAGTTTTCTAGTGGTTCAGTTCAATAGACTACAAAACCAAAACAAGCATAATCTTCGTTAATGCTTTTGATTAGGAAATACTTTCTTTAGGTCACAGATCTTCCTTCATGCTTGGATGAAAGACTTCTTATTCTTCATAGAAGGAGTTTACTTCATTTCTGTATTTCTCAAGTACAGTGAGTCGTTTTAGCTTCATTGTCGGACCTTAAAAGAGGAAGTTACAATAGCAGAAAATAGGAACAAAAATTCCTACACAGTTTGAGCTTTGGTTCCTAAGATTTTCTATTGAAGAGCCTGTTTGGAAGAATAACTCCCACTCTGTAAGTGTAGATATGAGAAGCAAACATGGTATGTAAGATAGCCTCTACATAAGTATGAGGACTTCAAAGGGAGCTGCAGATAACAGAGTGATGACTGACTACTACTACTTTTTTCATTAAAAATAATTTAAAGGATGATATTTTTGAAAGCTTTCAAACAATTCCCAGTTTATTTAAAGAACCCAGTAGTGTGCTTGGGACTTTGCTGTCAGGCTTTCACTGTCTTTTTTTTTTCTTTTTTTTTTTTTGACAAGAAATGTTCAGTACTATTACTGGAAGTTACTAATACTGTAATGCAAAGGAACTAATCAGAATTGATTTTTTTTAATTGCCCAAAGCAATCTGAAATTTAGCTAGAGCTGTACTTGTATATGAGCACAGATTGATAGATATGTACAGAGCAAAAACTCCCATTTTTATTTTTAACACATGCTGCATAACGGTTTTTTCCTTTCCCTCTAGTGGCTGCACCCAGAACTCGTCATACAAAACTGCATTTGAATACTCTCAGATCAGCAGCCTCTTTACTGTGTGTATACCTCAATATAAGTCAGTAACTCTTACCTAGTTCTCCCCCAGAAATGGAAAAATCTCTTGGCAGGACTATCCATTTTTGAATACAGTGAACCCTATTAGCAGCGTTCCTGTTGACTTTGTTGATTCCCTCCTGAATGGCCTGGTAGATCGCCTGGTCTCTTGTAGCTACAATCTCTGATACTTTAGTGGCTTTACTACCAGCCTTCTGGCAGAAGTCTCTAGCTTGCTCAGTGAGAATGTCAGTGGGATCAGACGTATCTGGGTCCAGCATGCTCTAAAATATCAAATGAAGTGAATCATCAACTGCTCACTCGTATAAGGCATTAAATGTGTCTCTGATCAGGTCCTCCCCAACTCGTAAGTATCAAGAAGGCTCAGCATCAACACCCAAACATCCTGTAAGCCTTAAAAAGCAGACAGATGATAGTGCTTTTCCTTCTACTTGGCTACCAAATGCAAATACTTCTGGCTTCTATGCAGATGATGTGAGCAGGCTTAAAACGTGTCAATGAATCAGGCAATAAAGTCCATCAATAGACCTTGAATTTCTACCATATTTTCCAAATTACTCCATTATTACAGGGGAACGTTTAGCTCATCATTAAATTGAATTACTGTGGTGTAATGTAAATAGCTTGAGATAGAAGCATTCTTTGAAGTTAGACTTCTTAAATTAGTATTTCTATCATACCTGTAGATAGGGAGGATCAGTCATAGAGATAACTTGAGAAAAACTAAAGGGTCATTCACTATGGATGTACACAGAACATGAAGTGCAAATGTTTTTGAAAAAAGGTCATTTCTCAGTTGAAGAATATATCGCAGCAAAGCTATTAATTATTTTGTTCTACCTTCATCCTTCTTTTGTGTTACATAAACAGAACAAATTGTAGAGAAATGTTTCTGTTGGAAAGTCTGCTTCTGCTGGAAAGTTTCTGTTAGGAAAATAGTTTTTACCTGTACCAGAAACATTTGTTGTCTTTGCTCGTCTGTAAGAATAAAAGCTATTATTGTGCTCTGCTACAGAGATTTCTTACTGTTTCAACATTCTTTAATTAAAAATTTGCATTTGAATAAAAAAATAGTTATTGTAATTATAGAAGAAACAGCAGTAAACACATACATGTTTAGCAGATCATCTAATCTTAACAAGTCTAGACCATCAGGATTTGGCCTGTAGTTGCTACATATTTTTTTCCCCTCTAACATCCTCCTATCTCATTTTTGGTCTTTTTACAAACAGTTCAAAATGCTATTTGTTTTGCTAGGTGCAGGTATGTAATTTCACTGAAATGAATATTAGAACAGGTGTACCTTTAGGGTAAGCAACATTGACAAAAACTTCTTTTTATCTCCAATCACCATAGCATTACTAACAATTGGAAGTTCTTTTTTAACAGCATCTTCAATTGGAATTGGAGGCACATTTTCACCTCCAGCTGTAATAATCAAATCTAGGCAAAAAAGAAAGGGTATTAGTTGAATTCAAATCAGGTTAATGTCCTAGATCGATCCACTTTTCTTATTCTGACATAAAAAATGAGGGAGATTTTTTTCAAAGACAATGTTTTCAAAAAGAACAAAGCCTATTAATAAATTATCTTCAAAATAAAAATGCTAATACTTTTTCAAATATGTGCTCAAGTTCTCAGTTCTCCCTCGGTATAACATAGTCACTCCAGATGATTTTTACATAATCCACAAACAGGCTAGTTATTCTCAAGGCACTGTTGCATAATCTGGAATTTTTCTGTGAGAAATTATCTCTTCCAAATTAGCATAGGATTCACTCTCTATTTTACTGTTGCTATCTCAACAAAAAGCAAGTTCATTGGTAACATCATGATTAAAACTAATTCTTAAAGCCACCAAGAGGGGTCAGACAAAAACGAAGTTACTACTGCAGGAAGGCTCCCTAAAAGCAATGTGGAAAGAAGGGAGAGAGGAGGGTGAGGAGGGGAAAGTCAAGATCTTAAGAGAGGCAGTCTGCAGTGGAAGTAGTGATTCCTGCCCTACTTTTGACATGAGGGGAATACAATGACAGACTGGAATCCTAATTTTTAAGGTTTGTAAACAGTGGTAGTGATACCTTATTCTATTGATAAATGTGCATTTTTATTTGAATGCATTCATTCTGAAGTACAATACATAGATTCACTGGAATTATTACAAATTTGAGTATTATCTAAGTAAATTCCACCCTTCATTACACTGGTGACTTCTCCCTGCCTCAAGTGATAGACTTTGCAGCATTTCAGAACCCGCCTCAACAAATAATGTGGACAAATGGTATACCAGTCCTTTGTGTAATAAATAATAAAGCTGACTGTATGTATTAAGGATCGGGTTTGGTACCAGATTCCCTGTCAGCAATAAACTTGAAGAATTTAGATGCAATCAAGAGAATACAGCACCCTTCAGCATTCACAGGTTTGGGCCCTACCATCTCTACTGCTCTGTAAGAACTATGAAGAGAAGTAACTTCCAGACTATAGTCAACCTTCTGGTATGGAATAGGCATTGATCTCAAAGTTATTTTTTCCCTAGTCAACACACTGCACACATTTGAGGAAGCACAAGGACTGTTTATAGAATGAGAGACTTCTGTCAAACCACAGATACATACCAAAGTTTGTTGTGTATCCAAACTTGTCTAGGTCTGTTTTTTCCTTTCACTCCCCCCTCCTTCTTCCATAGTCCTGCTTTGGTCTTTGATCCTCTACCAATCTCTCTGGCACTTAGTTTTCATTGTCTAAGATGTCAGCTTTTCCCCAGCTGATTCAGACAACTGTAATAATTGTAATAACTTTTCCCACGCCTCTACAAATACTCACCCTGTATGAACTTCTCTAGCTACATGTTTGTGCTTTGCAGCTCACAAGTCCTAGAACTTGTAAGACCCACAGAACCAAAGGAAGTCCTGTTTCAGTGACTAGAAGAAAAGCTTCTTTACTACCATCTATTAGATTTTACCTTATTTAGACTTGGATTTAAAACTTTAATGAACCTGGACAGTTATTTTAGCCCAGGTAGTATACCTGTCCTGTAATTCAGAGTAATTGTTATTAGCTCAACAATCAAGGAGGATGTAAGTGAAACACAAATGATATGACAGAATGAGGCTAGGAGTTGCTAACTGCTCTGCTAAAGGAAAATGAATCAGATGAGAAAGCAAGTTAAAATCAAGATAGCTGTATTTGGTGCAGCTATTAATAGTATCTACTGAAGTCCTGATTCCTAGCAGGACACTATGTCACCCTATGACAAATTCACTCATCCATGTTATCTCCCTAGTGATTCATCATATATTCTAAGGCAATAGTTAATTTTTAAATCTTCACTTGCATCTTGACTGTGACCAACCCCATTCTCTGAATATGTATTGTGAAAAAAGCTTCCGAGTAAGCAAGTGACCAGCCTTACTCATGTGACACTTCAAGCTATGTACTGTAATAATAGCTAGGTTTATTGCTTCAGCTTTAACTTTCCCTTCTGCTCTCAAGCTTCAATATTTGTCTCTGCAAACACATCACCTAAGGCATCAGAGGAACCTAGTTCTGACCTACAGCAACCACTTTTATGTAACACAGGGCTGTCTCTCGACACTGTCAAAACATTGTAATGTGCAATTAAGACAATTTAGTAAGATTCAAAGGGAGTCTGGACAGCCTAATGGATCATTAGAATTGAAGAAAACACATTAAACCTGCATTATTATTTTAAATTACTAATTATAATTAATACTGAATAAAGGTCTGGGAGATAAAAAGCCTCGTGGTAGAAACTGAATCACATCCACCTATTACAGACCAGATAGAAATCTTTCCTGAACAGGGCACACCATGGAAAGTTTATTTTACCTTCCTA